TTTGTTCCAGATATAAAAACAATCCCAAAAGTAAAGCTACCAATTTTTCCCGATATAAGTTGTATCTGTTTTTTAATATTTGCAATATTTTTAAATCTTTATCTTTGTCTTCTTATTCATCTGCAGCAATGACTATGAACACCTAAATATACTACGAGAAATAGAGCTTTATTTTAAGAGTAAAATATCTACCTAAATGAAACATATCACTTTAATAAAAAAAGAAAATAGTGTAAAAAAGTCGTTAATTATTGAAAGTTCAAGCAAGATAAAAATTAAGTTATAAATATTCAGATATAAATTAGTTTCGATGTTTTTTCTTGGATAAAATATTTATCTATTTAAACAATGAAGAGAAATATTCCCTTGACTCACACGATTATGTCCTGGAAAAGGGATTGGAATGCCTATCAAGAAACACCCTTTACGAGCATCAAAATCTCAATAAACCAGCAATATCCAGGTTAGAATGGTCATTATTTCCTGTCCATGATTGGTTCGTCCCTCATGAACCGAACTTCATCTCCTGTTGCCACCATCTAACAACTTTGATGGATGCCATTTGTTACATAAGTCTTTGATTGATTCCACATATTCAGTTTATAGATCTTTTTTACTGTACTTTTACGATATCGCAATTTGCAGTTATATCGAAGAGTTCTAGTTAATAGTTTTACTTTAAATACATGTAAAATACGTCGAGACACGATTCATTGTTATTCTCAAAATTATATTTAATATAATTATGCGTGATGTCAAGAAATTATTGTTTGAATTTATTGGAAAATTAAACACTTGCATTATTTTCGAAAAAACCTCTTCTTAATTCGTTGATGGATCTCCCGATGAGTGAGTAGTAATGCACCCTATGTAAAACCTTTAGTTGTTCAGTTTTAAATTAAATTAAAACCCAACTGTGTTTGTTTAAAGAAAGAAGTACTTTTTTTCTATGAAAATTTGGATTTAATAAGTTTCATTAAATAAAAAACCTATATTTATTTAAACAAGAACATTGACATATTCATTACTAATTTGGTTAGGCAATTAAAATTTCAAACATTAGGAAACTACCTGATTAAGTATTAAGTTATATGTACTTTCTGTGATAATTTACAATAAATAAGCCTTTTATATTGTGATGAGTAGAGAAGCATTCATTTCATTCAAAACATTCATTCAAACAGGAGAGTTATTGAATTATTTCCATTACTTGGATTAGCAAGCATTTTTATTGAAGTGTTTCTATCTTTCAGACCACGTGAGTGATGCGAAGCTAACTATGAATTATACATGTGGTTTGGAAATCGAAAATCTCAGTTGTACCACAAAAGAGCATGACAAAGCAAACTCATGCAATATTTAAAATGTAACAAGACAAACTTTGTTACATTTTATAGATTGCATTTTTATACTACATAGACTAAACAAAAATATGGAGGAGACAGAACTGAAATTGAGTTTATTTAAAAAAATCTACATATTTTTGGTACAATATAATTAATAAATTCAAAATAATGCATAATTTTACGGAATACATTTTTCTCATATCTATGTTTGTGCTAGAACAAATACATGGTGCTAATAAGGTTTATACAATGTATTTATACAATATCATTCAAATCTAACTATACTCCATAGATAAAGCAAGGGTACAATACATATTTAGGTTATATGCCACGATGGTATTCCATTTGAAAAAACAAATTTCAAATTGAGGCTTTTTCTAAGTCTGAAATACGATCTAATATTTCCCAAAAAGTAATTTAAATTTATGCTAGTCTAAAGAATACGGAGCCCCATATGTTTCTATAGCTAGGCTAACGCTTATTTTATACTTACTTAGCCTGCAATATAAACTTTTTTTTACATATTCTTTTCTAACATAAGCTCAGATTGCTTTTTATTTATACAAATTATGCATTTATGTATATTTATAAGTATCAACAACAACAGACAGAAAAAAACAAATATATTTTATTGGAATGTGCAACAATATGTGTTCGTTATTGAGTTAGTAGATTTTATTGTTAATTGTTTTTTTTCTGTATAAACCATGTTTCTGAGAATAAAAATGCATTGATATATTTTATTTATTTAAATGGGTATTGAATTCATCAAAGAAATATCAATACTTTAAAGCATCATGTTACTTCTAAACTAAGTTTAATGATGCCAAAATTAATCAACACACTTAAAGTCATATTTATATTAGGCCGGGTGCACACAATGAGCGATGATTTAAAAACAATCAGTTTGCTTAAAGTAAAAGAAAATAAGAAACCAGAAGCAGTAATCATACAGGTTTTGTTGTGCTAAACTGAGAAAACTAGATTTTGATTGTCACCAAACTTAAAAACTAATTACTAAGATCATCCATAGAGGGCGCTACTGATTAAGATAAACTATAAAACAATGCTTTTAAAATAATCTCCAATTTGCATTCCCAATATTACTCATTAATTCCAATTGAATTAGTTCATTTTATATAATTGTGATGGCATATCTTAGGATCATCCTCAGGGATGTTTCCCAGACCATCGCCAATAGCCCATCGTGCAGCTCTAGTGCGACGTAAATGAACTACAACAACAACAACATTTTATATAATTCAGTGGAATGTTATTTAATTCAGTTGAATTTTGTTCATTTTATCATTTCAGTTAAAAGGATCTGAAATGCAGCAGAAATGCCAAAATTAATCAACACACTTAAAGTCATATTTATATTAGGCCGGGTGCACACAATGAGCGATGATTTAAAAACAATCAGTTTGCTTAAAGTAAAAGAAAATAAGAAAACAGAAGCAGTAATCATACAGGTTTTGTTGTGCTAAACTGAGAAAACTAGATTTTGATTGTCACCAAACTTAAAAATTAATTACTAAGATCATCCATAGAGGGCGCTACTGATTAAGATAAACTATAAAACAATGCTTTTAAAATAATCTCCAATTTGCATTCCCAATATTACTCATTAATTCCAATTGAATTAGTTCATTTTATATAATTGTGATGGCATATCTTAGGATCATCCTCAGGGATGTTTCCCAGACCATCGCCAATAGCCCATCGTGCAGCTCTAGTGCGACGTAAATGAACTACAACAACAACAACATTTTATATAATTCAGTGGAATGTTATTTAATTCAGTTGAATTTTGTTCATTTTATCATTTCAGTTAAAAGGATCTGAAATGCAGCAGAAAATTTGTTTTATAGTTTTTCCAATCTTAAACGCCATCTGCAGCGAAAATATGTAATTAGTTTAAAAATTTATGCAGGATTTGGAGAGAGTTCTAAGCAAAAGGCAGAAAACCGCATGCTTCGCTTAAATTCTGTTTTTAATTTATTTTAAACACAATCAGTCATTTATAGAATACCTGGTTTGTAAAGATTCCAACTAGGCCATTTAAATAGTGAATGTTATTTTAAAACATTTTCTCCAAGAAAACTAAGTTAATTGTTTCAAAATAGTAAAATTTCAATTTTATAATAAAATAATAAAAATTTAAATATTTCAAAATATTAAAAAATCGAAATATTTTTATCTTCAGTAAAAGTATAATTTTTTCTCTTAGTCATGTAACAATAGCTCTATAGAAATGAAGAAACATGCATTACAAAAACATTCAACATATATTTTCTTCATTAAAGTTATGTACACACAAACAATTATAATTACATTTACTTCATTACACGTGGTTTCAAGAATCGATGAGGGTATAACAAATTTTAAATAAATTCATTGAAGGAAAAAAAAAACGAATTCACTTTGAAAATCGTAAATTTGTGAGATGAAAAGGAAATAAAATAATAATAATAATATTGCGTAAGTAATATTGTAACATAATATTAAGTCTTTTTTAGGTTCAGTTACAAAAATTCAAATAAATGAGCTAAATTTCATAAAATTGAAAAGGTCCATATTTGTTTTATCAGTTTAATCTATGAATGAAGTGCTTTTGCTTTATTTTTAATGACTAATAAATTAAATTAAAAGCACCTGAATGATGCTTCTGATAATTTTTTAATTTCCTATTCAGCAAAAAAAAGAAGAAAAAAAATATGGTAACTTCTTTCTCTAAGTGAGATCAGATTTTTAGATTCAAAATTTATTTATTTTGCCTTTTACAGAAAAAAACCCTTATTATGAAAAAGTTAAAGTTCGTATCCAATCATTCTTTCCAGAGCTTACGTGATAGACATATATGAAGTAAAATAATTTTGGTAATATAAATAATGTCGTAGTTAGTGAAGATAGTAAATAAAAAGATTTTATCATAAGTTTCAATAATATAAAAAAAACAGACTTTTATTTCATTTTAAAAATAAGTACTAACTATAATTAGTATTACTTGATTAAAGACTTCAATCACTTCAAAAACATATAGATTGAAAACAACCGTCAACATGTTCCAAGCACTCACAAAAATAGACGTCCATTTTCAACACTTACGAGACAAGAATGAGAAAAAACAAAGTGACCTGGAACACCGAAAAGCCATTACATTACTACCACCCTGCTACTAAGATGTAGGACCATCTTTAGCCCTCAAAACTGCTAGCACCCGCCGTGGCGTTGATTCCACAAGGCACTGATAGGTAGTCTGAGATATCTGGTACCAAGCGCTCACCAACTGGTCCTGCAATTCCCTCACATTGCGCGGAGGTAGCGTGGCAGCACGAATTTGGTTTTCCAAGTAGGGCCACAAATGCTCTATTGGATTAAGGTCAGGTGAATTTGGGGGTCAAGACATGACTTGAAAGTCACTGGATTGTTCCTTGAACCAATCCATGACGATTCGACCCTTATGACATGGTGCATTATCCTGTTGGTAAACACCATCCTCCGCTGGAAAAACTGTTGCCATGAATAGGTGAACCTAGTCTACAACTATGTTCAAGTAACTTACAAACGTCAGGGATTGTTCTATGAGGATTATGGGTCCCAATGTGTCCCATGAAAACATTGTTCCTGGGCGAGAAACCATAAAAACCTGGGCGAGCCCATTGTTATAGATGGAGGGTGGTCATAATGTAATGGCTCTTCGGTGTAAAACGTTAAGTGGATATCGAAGAATGGAAAATAAAGGTGAGAAAAACTAGGAAAATATCAGATGGTAAGGAACTAATGTCGTTAACAAGGGAATTAGCATTCCTATGAATGAAGCTAGATTTCAGGACATCAAGATAAGCTGATGTATGTGCTCGCTTGAAACATGTCAATTGTTATATCCAATACAATATTCATTTCTCCAATATGTATATTTTTGAAGCTGATGAAGTTTTTCTTTAAAGCAAATCATATAATATCGTACCGTTTCAGTTCCATGAGATTTATTCATTTAAAACTAATTAGTGTCTCTAAAACTAGCAATTACATATTTTATGTTAAAGTAATTTAGTGAGTATTAATTAAAGTATAAAGATGATAAAAAATGCAAAATTTATAAACAGCTGGTATTTCTTTTTGTAATGCTGTCTAATACTATACTTCTTTAATGCGAATTTATATCACATGGACTTGAAATTTATAAATAAGAATAATACATAGTATGAAACAGAATAATAAATTAATTCTCACTAGCGTGTTTCGCTTTTTGTAGAATCAGCTGCTTTAAATAGGTTCCAAATCATTGCTCGTAACATTTATTCTTACTGTGTCGGTAACCGAGGTGCTATTTTTTGTTGCAGCAACTCGGTCCTTCTGAATTTTTCTGTCTTTATTTTGGATCTCTTTCATTGGAAGAAGTGTTACATTTTCGTGGCCATCATGTCCGTTGCAAGATTTATCAGCCTTGCCGCTTACAACCCTCTTTGACATCGTATTTGGAGCTTGAACAGCCGAATTAAAGCAAGGTAAAACAATCATAAACTCTTTTCTAAAATTTTCATTGAGCCAAGCATAGAGGAATGGGTTGTAACAGGTTGAGCTCATTGCAGCCGCATGAGACATGAAGAAAATTACGTTTAAAAATTTCCATGAAGCAGCTGGTATGTAAAAGTCTATAATAAGGTTGTAAATATTGATTGGCAACCAAGAAGCACCGAATATAACCACCATAGTGATAAGCATTCTGTTTGTGCGGCGTGTTCTTTCCCTCTCCATCTCTTCTTTCTTCACAGATTTGGTTCCTGGTTTTGATTTGGCGCGGTTTTTCAACTTGATGCACACTTTCATGTAGCAAAATGTAATAATGATAAATGGTACAACAAACTGTAAAATTGATGTAGAAAATCCAAACGCTCTTCGACTGGATTCATGGGGCCACACCTCATCACAATATATACCATTTTCAGTAGGAACCAACGCCATGAATATACCATACGGAAGGGTAAGCAATCCAGCTAGCACCCATACTGCTACAATTATCAAGTAACAATAAGTAACTTGAAGCCTTGGTTTAAATGGGTATATAATGACAAAAAATCTGTCGATGGCTATTGACATCAAAGTAAATGCTGATATATAGACGCTGACACCTTGAGCATAGGGTACTAGATGACAAAGTACCCTTCCAAATACCCACTGGCTCATGAACATGTAGAGCGGTGTAAATGGTACTGCAAACGTGCATAAAAGTATATCAGATAACGCTAGGTTAGTTATGAAGAAATTGGTTACAGTCTGCATTGATTTATTTCGGAATACAACATAGCAAACGAGAACGTTGCCACAAATTCCTATTGAAAATATAGTGATGTATATAGCGTAAAATATAGCTTTTAGTCCAGGTAAGTGACTAAATATATCAATTTGAGGATCATAATATTCTTCACTCTCATAAAATGGAGTATTATTGGTATTGTTTGGCCAGTCAAGTGTGAAATTTGCGTTCTGCATTAATACAGCATAGGCTGCATAGTTGCTGACATGAAAACCATTCGCTATATGAATAGACATTGTGTATTACTGTCAATATCAGTATGGAAAAAATAAATAGTCAAGTCTGTTTATTTTGCAGGGAAGTTTATTTACGATTTCTCACATTCTCTCTACTGTTTGAAGTCTTATTGAAACCATCATTGCTTCTATGACAAAATGCGTCACTGAAATAAAAAAAATACAATTGATTACCAGGTCATATCATAATTTTTATTTCATGAAAAGCTGTTCATTTTGATTTTTTTCCCTATACCTTTTATTTTAACATTATATTTACACAAATTAAATATTAATGTTACATATCTCCATTGATGATGCGTACCATAACTTCCCACTCAAAAATCATTGGGCAGTTTGTGATTTGAATATGCTTTTTGATTTTATTTATTTAAGCGAAGGTATTATGCACAATTGACACAAGGGAAAATAAATCATATTCCCGGAGTATTATTTAGTATCCAGGAATTTTAGGAGCAGCGAATTAGAAACGGATCAATTCAAATAAAGGAGAACTGCTACTTTTAATAAGTTTAGATATAATCGTTACATTTTTAATTTAAAAATTATAATATTTTGTGAATTAAGTAATGCACTTCCTAATTATCTATTATCTCTGAACAATTTTGATTTATTTTCGCCACATTTTTTCAGTCATCCTCGAATATGGCTGATTCAATATCTCTCTATATCTCAATATAACGTAAAAACATAATGATCTAACACAGTTTTCCATTGTGGTCGTTGCATTTTTGTCGGGCGGAAAATCACGTGGTAGGATTCAGTTTCCCCTCATTCATTTCCATATTGCTTTAGTTGTCATCAGCATAAAAATAATAAAAGTTTTAAAGGTATTCGTGATCGCAACGCTTAAGTACGCCCTCTAGCGGTAGCCTGAGAAGATTAGGCATTTATATATTAAGCTTTCATTTAGTTCCATCTGAATCATTGGTGGAGTCAGACGCCATTTTCTAAGCAGCAAATAAGAAGTAAATATTCCCTAAGGAAAAGGCCGAAGAACTTGAAAAAACTCTCCTGAACATCGGTAAATCTTTCAGAAACAGAACACACCTGCCATTTGAAGAAAAATTCCTCATTACTTTTTAACTTCTATTATCCACAAATTTGCAACTGATAACTTTCGATTTCGGGATCGCATACTGTTACAGATGTGTGTATTACTGTAAAATAAATTTTTTCTGTCTTCAATTCATTACATATTAAAGTGAAATCAACATCACTTTCTTCATTCCAATGAATAAATGTGAATTCAGAACGTAAAATACTGTAATAGTTATATTAGAATATTTTTTTTCTTTATAGAATAGTATATATTTCTGTTTCCACATGATTCGGAAATCAACAATAAAGAATCTTTCGAGTTTCTTGAAATGGTATCATTTGTACTGATTATTAACGAATTTTTATCGTTTTCTTGACAAGTACTTTTCAGTTTGGAAAGAATAATTTCAACTAGAATTCAGCTATTTTGTTTCTAAGCTACATATTAAAATTCATATCGAGATCTTACAATTATAAAATTTTGCTATGTGGTATGTTATCAAAAAATAATGAAGGGATAATCTAGGTATATATAATTTGAAAATAAAATTTTCAAACGAAGAACATTTCATTTGGAATTATCCGGATTTATAAAGCAGGTGAGTGTTATGATTTCTATAATAAAAAATTTGCTTGTAAATAATTTTTTTCTTGTTTGATAATAGTTCTCTTCAGAATGGTTTTTTACGTCTGATTAAGAATATAAGAATAAAAGAATTAAGAATATAAGAATAAAAAAAAGAAACATTATGAGGGTTTCTTATTTCAACATGAGGAATTTTTAAAATCGTTTTTTTTATCCTAAGAATTCCATATTTTACGCTTTTTAGTTTATAATTTTTTTGATAAAAATTGTTGTCAAAAACTTTTTTTGAAAAATTAAATGGTATAACATTTTGTGTTTATGCATACTTCCTGCATATTCTAATATTTGAAGTAATATGATTCAGAAAAGTATGGAATGAAATTTCGAAATTTACGTATTGACGCCACCGCGGCTACAGATTTGGCGGTTTCTAAGTGCCGCCTATCTGCACCAAAAATTTTTGCTTCAAATCATTAAATAGAACACTTTATTAAAAATCAAAACACTTTCAAAATTCAAAACACTTTATTTAGAAAGGAAGTAGTATCGGATTTTGGTGGAAAATGGGCCGATATAGAGTTTAATATAGATTCAAAACAATCTCTATTTTCTTTCACCAAATTCTGTCGCCATATGAACACTAATAAATAAGATTCCAAATGAAATAACGCTTCCAAAACGTGTGTTTACCAAGATAAAGTTTCATGTGATGGGAATTGGTACATTTTCGTTTTTTTAGTAAAATATTTCGCACCAGAAAAAATAAAATTGCATCCTGTTCTACTTTTGACAAATGCCAAAGACGCATTTTTGTAGCACTAAAAATGGCGTCAAAAAACAGCAAACAACAAGGTAACAAGGAATCCAAAAGATACATGTGTGCGAACAACAGTATTGTTCTTTATTGGCTCATTAGAGCAACTTCTGTTGGGGTGGCGTTAGTACGTAAGTACCAAGAATTTAGCTATTCTGTTTTTAAGTTTCATATTGAAATTCATATCAAGATCTTGCAATTATAAAATTTTACTGCGTTTTATGACATCTTAAAGTAAGGAAGGGATAATATGGGTATATATTATTTGAGAATAAAGTGTTCAAAAGAAGATTATATCATTTTGTAATTCTCTGGATTTATAAAGCAGGTAAGTGTTATAATTTATAAAATAAAAAATTTTACTTGAAAATAATTATTTTTCTTGTTTGATGATATCTTTCTATAGAATGGTTTTCTACGTCACATTATAAGTAAAAAAAAACATGAAAGTGTTTTATTTCAATCAGAGGAATTTTTAGATTTTTTTTTTGTTTCGTAAGCATTCATTATTTTCCGTTTTCTAGTTTCTAAATACTGATTTTTATTGAAACTTAAAATTTTTTTATTAAAATTGTTGTCAAAAAACTTTTTTTACAAAATTAAATTATGTAAAATTATGAGGCTTATGCATACTTTTTGATTATTTTAATGTTTAAAGTAATATGATTCCTAAAACTACGGAATGCAAAGTTTAAATAGGCCTTTCATGCTATATCATTAAATTCAGTAAAACTTTTTTTCAGGCAATAGGTTTTAACTTTAATAAGAAGATACAAATTTGTTTCTGTTTGTTTACAAATATTTTTCCGATGTGTTTTGAATGTTCCTTCTCTAAAAAGAAAAGAGATACCATTTTGTTTTCGTTTGCATAAAAAAAATATCAAGCATATTTCTTTTTTCAATTTAATAAGCCACAATAAAGAAGGAACGTTACAATGCTACACGCTACACTTAAGACGTCTCCAGCGTAACTGAATAAATGTTCATATAGCAGTCGCAGGTATTCGTCTCATACAACAGCGCCCCCTATAGTTCGTTGCGATCGCGAATTGTTTTTCTATAAGCATGTTTGTATCCCTACTTTAAAGGTATTTATCTGTAATTTTTATCTATAATAAAAATTGTAAAAGGAATCTATTATAAAAATACACTTCCCTTACATTTTAGTCGAACCATTTTATGACGTTATCAATAAATTTAATTAAATAGTTACATGCAGTTTTCCACTGTTAATGGTGTGTTTTTATTGGCTGAAAGCTACGTGGTAGGATCCAGTTTTCTCTCATTAACACCCAAATACACCCATATTTTTCGGGATGATATCAGCTTAAAATTAATTTTATTCATTATTTTAGTATTGTCCTATAAAATATTTGCGCCCCTAATTTAAAGGCATTTATCTGCAATTTTTATTTTTTTTACTCTATTCTGCTATTATTACGTTTTTGATTCCTTTCTAATCTAAGAGTTTAAAATTAAAATAGTTGTTTATTTATTATAACATAATACTATGATATTGCCTTATTACTATACACTTTGAAATATACTTATGTGAGTCGGTGTCTAAACTTATTAACCATTTTACAATAATTATTATTTTTCGATGCAAATTACTACAATATACTATTATAAATTACAGTTAAATAGATTTATTTTATATAATGATATTATTTTATATGATGAATTTAATGATCAGTGTCATGCACAGTGAGGCGTATGTACGAATTGTATGTAATATAGTAGCCTTTTCGGTAAGTAAAAGTATTAACTTACGATTGATCACAAAAAATTGTTATTGAAATAAACCTTTAGTTTTAAGTGTTATTTTAAGAAATAATTGCTAAACAAAACTATTTATGTTCACTAATAGACTAAGGGTAAGACTTTAATGTAATCCAAAGGAAAATGTTTTAAAGTTAGAGGAGTAAGCAAACACAATTTTTGGTACATATATTAGTGAGTAATTTAAACTTTCGTTGAAAAAACTGTTTCTGGTTAGCACTGTAAGAAATTCTGAATAAAAATATGGTAAAAATTACTGACTGTGTGCCGATACCTTTTACCATAAAATTTAACGGAGCAAAAATCTGATAATGAGTAATTTTTATGTATATACATAGTAATATTTACTGTAAAATCACGGAATTACTATAATGAAATAAACATTACTGTAAAATGTTATGGTTTTATCTATTATCTATTTTACGGTATACTATTTTAATGTAAAATTTATTTTTATCATACAATTCGCTGTAAATTGTTACGTTTAAAATAAATTTTACACTAAAATGGATTTTACGGATGCTGCATTCAAGGTGTCCATAATGCTTACCGGAATTTCCTACAGTGAAAAAACAACAAATATTGCAAAGTTATCATCGAGAATGATAAGCGGCAGTGAACATGAAGCTGAGCCCCTTAGTACTGTTATAAAGATTGATGAAACCCAAATTCCGTGATCTCCGTATTATTCTTGTTAAATTAATTAAAATTCTAAAACTTAGTGCTCTGACTGAGTGACTGTAAATAAAAATAGTTATTTTTTACAAAAATATTTAGTAAGTGGGTCCCATTACTTTTGCTTTAGATCGGACATTTTCTTAGATTTCGGAATTAGAGCTTACACAAATGGGGACAACCCTACATACCTTAAACACGGTCAATGCCCGCAAGTGATAAAATATTAACTCTAGATTGCCCAAAGAAGTCATTTTAATTGCTTTTCAACTGATTTTCATTTGAAAAAAATGTACAAATAATGAAGCATAAATTACTTTTTTTTCCAAGTGAAGTAATTTTTTTATTGTTAATATTTACTAATAATTTGCTATGTAACAGTAAATAATATAAAAAATATTAAAATTTAATTTAAAACAATTCTTTACACATTAGTTTTTCTTTCACAATGCAGTTATTTTGACTGCTTTTGGGCAATATAGGTATATACTAAGTTTCAGTCTTTCAACAATGTCACTCTAATGTTTCTGAATTCCTAGAAAAAAATAATTATTTTTCTTTCATTTTATAAGGTATGATGTTAAATTATATATTACCTGAAATAGAGGATCACTCTTTCATTCTGAGGCAGATGATGTCTGTGTTAATGCGCTACATTTTTTGTTGCAGACAAATATCGAAGGAAGTGTTCTTGAAGATGAAATGCAAAACAGCATGAAAATCGTTCCTCCGAGTTAATTGCAGCGAAAAGGAATCATTCGATGAACCTTTGAAATCTGAAAAGAAAAGAAAAATGTCGTTAGATCTATTTTACAATGTAATGTAATTATGAATAGATATTTTACATAAATAATACCCATCTATATCACTTTAAGCTTTTCTTACTTTCGTTCTCTTCAGGACAAAGTTTTGCACTCTTAAAGAATTTTATAAATTTTATTAAAGAGTTTAAATATTTTACTTTAAATTAAATTTCAAATTTTAGAATTTATAATTAGATGGTTTGTATCACGGCAAGCAATTGTATCATATACAATACAAGTATTAATTTGTTATAGGTAAATAACAAAATAATTAATATTTATGAGAAAAGTATTTCTTACCTGCAACAAATAACTTAATAGTTATTAATTTTATAATTTAACAGAAAATTAAATATTTTCAGATTGAATAAAAATGTACTTGATTTGTGTAACAAGTTCTAGAGAAATTGTGGAAAAAATTAACATTAAGGGGTTCACTTGATTAAATTATTAAACAGTAAATAATTCCGTTTAAAATTACGGTAAAAAGTAAAAGCTACAGTAAAATCTGTGTAACAGTAAAACTTTACGGTGCAAAAATCTGATTTATCGAGCTTTTTACAGTAACATTTGCTGTAAAATCACTGTAAATAAATAAATATTACTGTAAACATTACGGTATAACATTTTACGGTAAACATGGATTTTGCGAATGCTATACTCAAGATGCTAAAAATCTAACTCTATCAAAAAATGTCTATTTTTGCAGAAATTGCAAAAGCACTTCAATATGAACGGAAAAATTACTAAATGAGTGGTTTAAATACAGCGTCTTTTGTTTTCATTTATCAGAATTATGTGTCTTTTAAAAAGAAATGTCATTACCACAGAGCACTGTAATTGTAACATGTTTTTTTTTCGTGCATATTAACAATTAACAAGGAAAGTGCTATGGGGGGGTGCTCAAGGTAGGTGTTGTTAATTAAATGCAATGAATTAAAATTTAAGATTTAATGTTTGAAATCCGTTTTAATTTGCATAGACTGCGTTATTTTTTAAATAAATCAATTTTAAAACTAGCATGCACTTGTTAAAAAAGAAAACTTTAACAAGTAATGAGCTAAACTTGAAATCAAATACCTCGATATTTTATAACGAAATTTAAAGACGTTATTGCTGTTAACACAAAGAACAAATTTTACTATAAAAAGAATAGCTAAGCTGAAGAATCGAAAAAGAATAGCTAAAAAGAATAGCTAAAAAGAATAGCTAAAAGAATAGCTAAGCTATGATTCACAGGAACGTTCTAGTGATCACAAATGAAAATATGTAAAACATACAATAAGAAGATATTTATTCCTGAAAGAAAATTGCGGAAATGGAATAAGATCTTATGGTACAGAAAACGTGTATCAAATTAGAGGAGAAAGTTTTAGAACATCTGAAGACCATAAATTTATGACTAAAAGAATTAACATTAACGGTGCGAAACTTGCAGGGTGCTTTTAAAGTGGTGATACTAAATGATGCAGCTGGTGTAACTAAGTACGTAAAACAAGCATTTGGTAAGTTCATAAATTTATTTAATGTCTGTACTTGTTTTGAGCCTCTTCTCATCATTTTAAATCACCATGTTGGCTAGATAATGAATGCATTAAAGAAGGAAAATATGACGCACTCTTAGAAAGTTATAATAACGAAAAAAACAATGGCTGGATTTATTGACAAAAGAAATTGTTAATTTGATTTACTGACAAAAGAAATTGTTAATTTGATTTATTGACAGAAGAATTTAAAGTAATTCAATAAATAATTAAAATGAAAGTAATAAAGTAAAATAATTAATAAAAGTAAAGAAGAAATAATTAGTTTAGTCATAGAAGTAAAATAAGAAATAAGAATAAGTAAAGTAATTAATAAAAGTAAAAAAAGTAATAAAAGTAAAATAAGCAATAAGAATAACTAAAATAATTAAAATAAGTAATATAAAATAACTGAAATAAGTAAACTAAATCATTTTTTCTTTCATTAATGTTTTCACATAAGAAAAACCATATTGTAAATCCTTTATATAAGAAGAAAGTCGAAAGTCGTAATTTGACTATTATTTCATTATCTAATCAACCTTAAAAATATCTTCTATTTCAATGCAGTCTAAACCATATTAATTTAAAATGTTTATTTTATTTTTTTCGCAACTGTATTATTTCATGTCATTTGAAAAAAATAGATGCTTAAATAAAATTATTTGAAAATATTTAGTTGACTAATATATTTTTTCTCTCTTTTCCTTTTCTTCAAATATTCATACTGAAAGGAAATGAGAAGCAATTTATTATTTATTTTTTTAGTTTTATTTTTCAAATTTTATTTTTAATGTTAGAAGTTTAATGCCAAATATTTTGTGAACAGTTTGCACCATTAAGATACTTCAATTTCATGTTTTATTAATTCTTAAGATTTTTAACATGTGGTTCAATATTTAAAATTTGAATTTTAAGTTTAGTAATTATCTCTTTAATATTTATATACATATTTTTTAATTGCTTTTGAAATAATTAGAGTTTTTTTTCATTGTTTTAAAATGTTGCTATGTGTCCTGTAAGAAACTATACGTCCTTATACGAAGCTAAGTTAAGAAAAATCAATGCCAATGTTGAAAAGAAAGGTTAGTAAATCATATAATTTACAATAAAAATAAAACTGAATTCTTTTTTAATTCTTTAAAATCGTTTTCCTAAAAATGAGCTTTTTTTGCTATTTCTATCAATGTTTCTTGTATCCATGATTCTTTTTGCCAACCAATTACCAACTATGATGCTAACAAGAGTTGTCTTCTGAATGTCCTCATGTTTCAGTCGTAACTGTAATTTACTATTACAGCTGAGACTGTCTCAATCAAAGCAAATTAGACTTTATATTGAAGGAAGAAAGAAACATGATAACCATGATAACACTTCTTATTACCATTTATTTTGTCCCATTACAGTACAAATATATATATANATATAAATATATAATGACAAAATATAAAATTTGAAAAAAATTAGTCGAAGGCTTTCAACGTAATTAAATAATTAAAATTGAAATTTTTAAATTTTTGATTTAGTAAATTTATCTGTCTGCTTTTGTTCAAAAACTGTATTTTGTCTTTTTAAAACACCTAGTTTAAAATGGTTTAAAATTAGTACATTACAGTTCAAAAGTTTATAAATTGAATAACAAGAAATGATAACTAATTATGGAATGATGCTTAATCTTGGTATTATATCTTTATAAACAATTAATAGAATTGTATGCAAAGTATTTTTTGTTAATTTTCTTAAAAAAATTACAGATTTATTTTGCAAAAAACAAACAAATCAAAAAATAAATAAGTAAATAAAAAATTAAATTTAACATTAAACGAACGTACTTTTAAAAACCTCTATCGAATAAACTATTAAGACCATAATATTCCTGATTGGGGCGACAAACTCCTTATTTTGTGGGTCACGAATTTCAATTTGTTGAAAAATACTTTTTATTCAGAGAAAGTCTACTTCTTATATTTGATTTAGTATAGAAATATCGTCTGCGAAATTGATTAGAATAGTTAAAGTCAATTTATAATTGAAATTTAGAAAGAGAAAATCTGATTATAAAATGACGAATTTATTATGGTGTCCCTTTCTTCTTCAGTTCTTACGATAGACAAAATTTAAATTACTTTTTTATGCTATAACTGATAAAAAAATTACTTTTCCTTTGTTTAAACACTATTTTCTAAGATACCTGTTCCTAATAAACTCTTATTGGAAGTGAATAACAAAATACAGGTACTAGAGAAAGTTTTAAAAAAAATAGTTAAACAGGGTTTAGAAATTGTTTTTCTTTTTTCTCTGGTTTTTATGAAAAAACTAGCGCTAATTGATTACATTAGTTCATTAAATTTTCTATTGATTCTTTTCTAAACAAGTTTTTTAAAAAAACTGAAACTTTTACTAAAGATCTTTTTAAGAAGCTGCCAAACATAAATGATTAAAAACATTCTTTCAAAAAAGAGGTATAATCAAGCCTAAATTATATGACCTGCATCAGCTTTTGTTAATCAGTCTTCTGTGTCTGAAAAATACTCTTTAAAGAAAAAGAAACATTTTTTATTGTTTTGTCTTAGAATTTATACATCATAGAAAAAATCTATTAAGTTAAGAGTGTATTGATTTCCAGTTTAAACATTCAATGCAAAAATAAATTAATCTTTCAAACTCTTGAATTTCATATAAATTTTATCATCTTAAAGCAGTAGTGATGTTCTACATTTAATTAGATTTTAAAAACTATTTAGACACGACTGAATACATATCAGTTTCAATTGCTTATTTTCTCGTCGATGATATCCAGATTGCTCAATAGAAAATTTAATTTGAAACATTACATGAGAAAAAAATAGTAAAGTTATGTGCGTGAGGAATTACGAAAAATTATGCTTTTAATCTGGATTCTGGATAAGATATATCCATGGATGTGTTAAACAATATCCCACAGTATTTGTGAAAATGATAAAGAAAGTTTTTATTTTGTTTTTTAAAGAAGAAAAAAGATGTGTATAAAAGCGTCCTCAAAAATGATATGAGCGGGATGTTATGGATTTAAGTATAGACAATTAAGAAAAACCTATTTCAAATAAGACAAATGTATGAGATAGTTATTTAGATTCGAAAACATTGGAATATAGATTGGAACTAGTAAAATAATTGTTCCTGAAATTGAACTGTTGAAATATGTACATCAAACAATTATGTGAGCCTAAGCTGATTTGGATCTGATTTAAACCTACTCATTTGGATCGATTTTTTCCAACAATTTACAAATTTCATTGTGTAATTTGAAACCAGCCACGACTTCCCGACGCTATGTAGTTAGGGCGTAAGGTTGAAAAAGTGAAATTTCAATGTTGAAACCCATTGTAACACATGAAACTTTCTTCAATATAGTAATAAATAATAAAGACTTCAAAGGTAGGCACGACATACTGGATCACGTTGCAATAT